TTCAACTGATCATCTCCTCCTCAAAGAAACCTTTGCTTTTCCTTGGAAACTCTTATCCAATGCTGATCTAAGCTCAAAAGGCAACATAGTCCCTGTATTACCACATTGATATACCTTTCTCATTTCATACCCAAACTAGTATTGCCCCAAGTTGTTTAGCATCTTGTGGATGTACCAGCTCAGGCCAGCTGTGCCTAGAATGCACAATGTAGAGATTCTCTGTGAAAGTTAAGTCTTTTTGGAAATTGAAGTCACACGGCTGCTAAGTAAACTTTCAATTTCTTCCCACAAGCTACATCTTAAAAATATCACCTATTTAAAATACTGTAACTATTTTAAATATAGATCTGTGTATTATACCAGCTGTCTCATTTAGCTTGATGCAGAACTCTCCCTCTGATAGCTACATAATGGATATACTGCTAGTGTCACTAACATTTAGTCAGCTCAGTTCCTCTCAGAGTCTTAATAGTTAGCAAAAATATTTAAGAAAGGGAAACATATCCATCTGATTCTATTTTAAGGAGCACTTAACAGCTCCATTATACTGTCACTTCTACATTAAAGGAATGGACAACTATGCACCCTGGTTTCCAAGAGCCCAAGCCACTTACTGCTTGTTACTGTGAAAGGCAGAAACAGCAGCCTTACAGCTAGAGAACATTAGACCAAGCAAATTACAAATTGCACAGCCAATTGCTAGCTTTTGATGGCTTCTACCACTTGTATGACAAAAAAAACCACAACAAAAACCAAACAAAACCAAACACACCCAAAATAATACATCCAGAAACATCATAATGTCTTGAATGTATTTAATGTAATTTCAGTAATTTTTCTCCCTGTTAACTGACATTAGAAGTTTAACACGTTATTTTTAAAATGCCAAGTATTCTTACAATCTCCATCCATTACATACTGCATTCATAAAAAAAACAAACCAAAACAAAAAAATGAAACGAAAACACCTCCAAGCATCCACACAGTTTACCTTTTTAAAATACAGGATGGAAACTTCTCACCTGCATAAATCGTGTGTTCATACAGGGAAAACAAAAAAAAACCAACAACCAACCAAAAATTAAAACAAAAAAAACCCCCACACCCCAACAAACCCAGAGAAAACACAACCACTTCCCAATATTGGTATTATTTTACACTTTTCTACATAGAGTAAATAACCAAAAGGGCTATTCTGCAGTACTTATTTATTCCAAAGAAAGCACTCCCTTCTCAAGTTAATTTAACCATGAAAACAATAAGCATTTCATTCTCATATAGTGAGGACTATATGACACTATGCACATTAGTCTCTCACTTCATCTCTTAACAGGTAATCAAAAACCCCTGATATTTCAGGAATTCAACGGCCAGGCTAATTCTGTTTTGACCAAAGTAAACTCAGTAACTAACTGCGTACTGGGAAAATGTCTACGTAATTAAATAAGCTTGAAATAATTTCTTTTATAAAAATATACTTTTTATTTTAAGATATCAACTCCCAAGAGAGTTTAAATGTTTCTTCAATTATATCACCAAAACAAGTTCCTATATAGAGCTAGTAACATCTCTAACCATATAATCAATTCCAAGAGCTTATTTTATAACTCTAGGGTTGAGAGTAAGAAAATTGCCTGAACACTAAAATCTGTGTCATATTAAGCATTCTTCCACAAATAAAGTTACTGTAAATCATTAATATGATCAGATAAATGTATAGTTATTTGTCAATCTAACTCCCATAAATTTAACTCTGACTTTGAAAATGTGGTGCTTACCTTTCGTGATTTGGCAACTGCTGCCTGGATTGAATAGCTTTGATTAATTCAACAAAAAACTCTGGTTTTATAATCGGTCGACCACAGATCAAAGCACATATAGTCTGAAAAGGTGGAAAACATGTATTTACTGTATGGAAAAAGTTCAGCTACAATATGGCTCAACTGAAATTAGCTTTTTCAGACATCACACAAACAGAACAATACCGAACTTTGCTACTGAAAAATAGGATAGTTTTGCTTCTAATTGCTGTCTTGGCCAAACTTATGAAAATGTACAAGGCAATTGACAAAAATCAGTAACAGCCTTCAAAATTGGCTTTTTCGTTTTCTTTCCCTCCAACCTCCCATCAACTTCCACCTCTTTCTAAACTTGAAAGAGCTGGTTTCACAGCTTTGTAGAAAAAAATCTTGAGCAGGTCTAGAATTTAATTCAGATCTGTGGGTAAACTGCAAAGCAACATGATCAACACGGAAAAGCACAACATACCTTAACAGTAACTTTTACTGATACCATTACAAGGTGAGTACACTCTTTTGTCCATTCATTCACTACAAGGCCCCCAAGCTGCTGGATGGCTTGATTTAAAGCAGTCTTCTGAGCTACATCTAAACATGAGGAGCAGACAACCAAAGGCTCATATTCTACTCTGCAAAGAACAAGTAAAAGAGACTTCCTTTAGTTATTTCAGCCAATCATTATGATGAACAGAGCTGACTTAACTACCATGTTTGTGTCTCAGGGAAATCTGGGAGGAAAAAAAAAGGGGAAAAAAAAAAAAGACCCATACTCTTATCTAGATCAAAGACTGTGCTTTAAGGTTTCCTGAAGAAAGTGAATACTGATTTTTATTCAGAAAAATTACCACCACTTTGACTTGATGTCTGAAATATTTCAATGGACTTCTGGGTCTTCCGCAAATATCACATAGAATTAGTTCTTCAAGAATAGTGCAAGGTCAGGGAACATCAGAAGAAACTGAGTGTCTGCTTCCAACGGTAAGCGTATGCTCAACACAGGAGTCCAAAATATAAGTGCTGTAGAATGTAAGATCACGTAACCTTTTCCTAAGCATATCTAATTCCATTATTTGATTTGGTTTAGTCTAGAAAGCAGAAATAAATTTGAATAATCTTCCTGGTACAACAGTCACGATGTAACTGGTCTCATAGTATAGCTCCTGTACTGCACTTCAAGTATGTTTATCTAATATATCAAAATTAATTTATTGTAATAAGTGGAGGAGAATGCTGCTTTTTATATTAAATAAAACCAGTGAAACTGAGTCAAATTTTAAGAAGCAAAGCAAACTTCTGTTTGTTTTAATGTTGATTTTAATAGTCATTAGAATTTGTTCTATTTACCTGCCACTTTACTTCAAGGAGTGCTTCTTGTATTCAAACAGACAGCACTGGCTACCATGTTAAATTTGAAAAATTAGCAAGTTGGGTTCACTAAGGAGAATACAGACATACATTACAGCACAAAGCACCCTCCAGCTATGTCAGTTCTCTTCTCATTACCTTACCAACAGCTAACAAGGGCTCAGGCAAACTCTCTCCCTACTCAACTTTCCTCCCTTCTTTAGAGCATTTTATGTTTTAGGATTTTGTTCTTTGCCTATAAGAGTCTGAAAACACTCACTGTACATGATACCACATCTTCTAAAATGTCCATGCTTTATTGTGAACAATTTTAATCTCTTAGTGTCAAAATAAGTTACAATATAAAAATACGTAATGGAAAATGAACGCAGAAGCAGGTGTGGTACATAGACAAAACACTACTCATCTCCTTTGCTTTCTAAAAATTCCTCATTTCTGTATCGCTTGCTGAGCTGCATGATGTGTTAAAATTCTCTTCTATAAAACTGCAATTTTCTTCTTGATACTTTATAATCAAAGCACTTACCTAAACTTGTTTTCAAAGACTCCAAAGTTGATTCTGTCACCAGACTGCAAAGATGCTGAACTGCCATTGAGTTTTGATCCATTAACAAAGGTACCATACTTAGATGAATCTGTTACTGTTAACGTAGGGACTGAGAAAGACTGGTTCTGAAAATAAACATAAATAAGCCAATATAATTTATTAGAATGAGATACTTTTATCAGAAACAGGTTATTATCATTATGGATCAAAGCTGTAGATAAACAAGAAAAAGCCCACAAAATATCATCCTAAATAAAGACTTTGGACAATGAGGCTGGCTGCATGTTCATTTTCTGATTTTTACTGTGAAGGAATAAGAGAAAATTAACATATTTTTAGCTTCAGAACTTCTATGCTTCTACATTGTCTCTATGGAGGCTCTGCAAGGCAATCATTCACTAGCCCAAAGGCTCTGCAATTTAGGACGGCTCTGAGATTTATTATTGATGCTTTTACCCACTGTTCAGTCTTGGCACAGGTGCACAAGTCACATTTCCTCACCTCCTGCCATGAGCACTGCTAGCTATCCACACGCTGCAGAGCATGGTGACACCAGCAGATGTTGAGAACAAGTTACACACTGCATGTTTCCCACATGGTTCACAAACCAATGAGAACACTGTCAGCTTTTTAATGAAAATTTGCCACATAGTTATACACTATTCACAGTATTAAAAGGACACATAATTTTATGTGTTTAATTTCAAACTCTACATAAGGTTACATAAATTAAATTCCTAAAAACTTGAAAACGTTTGTAAACATTGCAGCATGTAAGTGACAGTAAATTACTGCTTGCTAATTCTCCTTGGGACATTTTTATTTAGTCCCCTAAGCAAATACAGACTTAATGATGTGGAATGAAACATGAACTAAGCCTGCAATAAGACAACTGAAGCACCTTCCAGAACCAAGACCTAAAACTCATCTATGTAATAAAATTCAATTGCATAATTTTCCTGCTATGATTATTTTAATTAAAAATCTTAGTGAATCTGCACTCTGGTATAAAAGAAAGCTTGGATCAGTGGAATTATGTCACTAATTTTCTCAACACAGGCAGGAACACCTGAGGAAACAAATAAACAAACAAAAAACAAGATTAAGACCAGACAGGTGATCAGTGGATCTACTCCAAGCATAAAACACCAGTGGGAATGAAATGAGAGTATACATGGTCATAGCAGACTAAATTATCCACATAGTGTACAGATAATGCAGTAAAATGCTGGCAACTTACAGGGTTTGTTTCAGGATGACTAACTGTCAGAACTGCATGACTTCGACTGATGGACTGATCACCCTGAATTAAAATCGCACAGTTTCTGCGTCCAACAACATATTCTGTACCACTTAAAAGCCGATATGTCTCTCCTGAAAACAAACAAGACGAAAAAATACCAATTTACAAAAACCTCTGAAATACCCAAAGCACTTAGGAAACATCCAGAAGTCTGTAGTGTATCTGAAACTCAACTCCTCCATGGATAATTTATTAGGATTTATTGGAATTATGCACTTAGATTAGACAAAATCTCTTTCTTCTTTCCTCTCCCTTGCTTTGTCCATTACAAAAGGATATATTTTATAATAAACTAAGCAGTTACAGAAGCATCAGCACACATTTTTCAAGGACAATATATTTTCATTACTACTTTGCTACTTAACTTTTCTCTTGCATTACTTGTTGAGGACCATGCGTTACATACAGGAAAAAAAAAGGAAGATTACTACGTAAGACAGCTTTTCCAAAACACAAGTTTTAAGAGTACATTATTTTTTGAGCGTACATAACTTATTTACATAACTTACTAAAAGGTTCTGAGCAAAACATCCCCTTAACTAAACTGGGAGGATCTGCAATGTAAATTAAATTGATACTTACTAAGTTCAGTCTCTGGCCTATGCTTTAGCTCATTCTTAGTATCTCTTGTCTAGACCACATGGTGGCTTTTCAATGGCTTGACTACATCCAAAGCGTGTGTATAACCTACTAGTCAACAGAACCTGAAATGTTCCTTGATAAAAATGAAGGAATAACTACAAATTAAGTTTAGTTATCAACCTTGGGCAAATAACTTCCCAAATACAAACTGCGCAGAAATTATCATCCCGAATACCACAACAGTACCAGTTTTTTGGCTCTTGCTCTAGAGTTTTCCAGGCAATAAGGAAGAACTCAACTCATTTCAATAGGAATAGGTATTGTTTTCACTGGGAGATAAACCAAACATCCATAATTCACTCCCAATGAATTAGGAAATAAAGAGCAGATGCAGTTCTGATAGGATTGCATGTTATACAGAAAACACTTAAGTCAAGAAGAAGTCTGTGTATTATATGATACCCACTATCAAAGTTATCAATATAACAAAGTTCATATGGATAAGGAAACTGATAAAGGTACAGCAACAATTCCGTGGACGAGTGCCCAGAGCAACGAGGACTTCCGTCACTTGTCCACGCTGGACCAACGCGGCTTTGCCCGAGGAGCACGGATAAGCAAGCCCGACTGGAGACCCAGCAGCCGAAAGCCCGGCTCTGGGCACAGGCAAGGGCACTGGCACAGCCCAGCATGCGAAAGTGACGACCAGGCCAGCAGACCCCAGCCCCTCGGACCGCCGCGGGCCTCCAGCCTGAAGCTCGGCGCCGCTCCTCACCCAAGGCCTCCGAGCAGGCGCACGCTGGGGCGGGGCGGGGCCAGTGGTGCCCCGGCCGAGTCCGCCCGAGCGGCGGTG